AATTGTTTCATATTGTTTGATGCTTTGCTATTCCTGAAATACCAGAACAGCAAACATACAGTGATGTAAGAAAATTATGCAGGCTTTTATGTGCGAAGACGATATTTAACTTTTTTTCATATTTATTTATTTTACTTTCCCGTAAAATGTTGAGCTCTAAATAACTAAATTGGGGTCAGCTTCAAAACTCAACGTGCTATTTCAGGATGAAAATGATTGCTTATTCGGCTTACATTTCACGCCGTCAGTTCAATTGTCGAACGATGGCGGATTACTGAGAGCGTTTGTCGAGCCAAAGTAAAGGCCGTTTGAGATGATGATGGACGGCCGTAGCAATTTCTGTAGCGCATTGTATGCTTTCAACAAATAGCTGATGAATGATGCGGGTCATAGGCTGACTGTAGAGACATAGTAAGCTTTTGAATATGCTGTGTTTATTGTAGTTGTGAAATATTTTTTCTGGTATTCACTTGAACAATGGTGGAAAAAATAATCTTATGTATAACTCATGAATATTTTCATCGTTACTTGTGCAATAGTAAGGGCTAGATACCTTCAATAAAAGAACATAAAATTAATTAAAATATTTAGTAAATTGCTGAATGTCAACGGGTTTTCATGGATTGCTCATAATTCAATGAAGAATTTGTAGCTCCATGGAATTATAAACAGACGTTGATAAAATTAGAGACCAAAGTCAACCGTAAATAATAACAATATTTCACCCAGATCAGGTATCAATTTGCGAAATATGGGTAGATTATTGATCCACCGGCGTTGTCGTATACAAGCGTATTCTATTTGTATTTTTGATAAAGGTTTCTAAGATCATTGAATGAAGTAGCCCTTGGTCCATTTGGGCGTTACCGCAATGGCTAAAATGACTAAACGCTAAAATAATCATTGCAAATACTCGAAAAAAATTTATAAACTTAAATAAAATGCAGGCAATCACGAATGCCAGCTAGTGTTTGGATTGGTGCTCCAGATTGAGATTTGATCAAAAAAGTGATCATTTTCAGCATGTTTTTAGAATAAAATTTCCAATAGAAGAGTTAATAAAAAAAAACAAATATAATTACTTTACAATACCAAATAAAATAACTTTAAAATACCTAATAAAATAACCATTATATGTACGAGAATCGTGAAAAAATTGTGTTGGCTGCGAGTATAACATGCTTCATAACTTGGAGCTCCTTCGAGGGTCACCAGAGAATATCAAACCTTAATAACCACTTACTTTCTTTTCGAGCACAAACAAATTACTTATATAAGGTGCGATGGAGTGTACCTGCCTCTAGATGGCGCTGCCGCTGCATACATATTGAATATTATCGCTATGGCTTGATAGCAGCGCTATATCACCGAACTTTTGCGTCTTTTGCCGACCACTCGAAAGAACTGTGGACTGGCTTCCGTCGATCTTATCCCTCAAGTCCCCTCATCGAAAAGACTTTGCGGACGGCTTAAAAAGTATGAAAGGATGATAAGTCCTAATACCCGCATGAACTTTTCAAGAGTGCTAAAATTAACTGAAAAAAGTTGTTCATGTATTTTTTATAAAGCTGGATACGGTTCATAGCAATTGTTTTACTTTGTCATCGACTTCTTTTATAAACAAGAACAAACGAACTGACGGTTAGGGATTGTCCATGCTTTTTGGAAGAAACAAAATCTAATTAAATATGGAAAAGAAGCGTAGTAAAATTGAATGCTTTATCGTCAATATGTGTTTGCGGGCTAAAATTTTTAATAACAAAATATAAAAATATCAATTTCTTAGCTAGCCTACACATCGCTGAAGGCTGACATGTACACCAATTAATGTGCATTAATTTGGATCATTCCATCGGACATATGCTACTGCTAGTCTATTCGCCAGATTGGGAACTTTTAGCTTAAAATAATTGATTAGCTTTTTATCTCATAAACTTATTATTCGCCTGCTTTATTTGGAAATTTGAAAATCAATTGTAAAATATACATCAGCACCGGTCATGTCAAGAATGCATTCAGAACCGACGATGAGTTCCCGACAAAATATATTAAAAATACATTGGAAAATTAATTAATTAATTAATTTCGAATTAATTAATTATTTAATTAATTAATTCGATTAATTAATTAAATAAAAATTAATTAATTAATTAATTTCGAATTAATTAATTATTTAATTAATTAATTCGATTAATTAATTAAATAAAAATTAATTAATTAATTAATCGAATATATTCGTCGGCGAATATTTGTATTAGTAGTGAGACTTTGTCCTAATAACAATAAACTTGGCGTCATCGTGACCCAGTTCGTTCCGGTATGAGAGCGAATCCATAGCGTCATCTCTGTTAGTGCCATGAGTAAAAAATATAACTCTCACTCACTGCAGTGAGTGACAGAGAGCGCATTTTCTCGTCGACGAAAACGTGAAGTCACGGACAGGCGGACGGACAGACAGACAGACAGACAGACAGACGGACATGGCGAGCACAATAGCGCCTTTTTTCCATGAATCAGAATATGCGCTAAAAATACTTCATTATTTGGTCAAAGACCCATACATTTTTCTATGGACGGAGCACTTATACAGGGAGAGAAATGTAATTTTTATGCAAGCATAACTTTTTTTAACTCACATAATTAATATAATAAATTTGTAATTTTTTACATCGATCCTTACAATTCTCATAGGTATAAGTGTTGAATTCTCCATTCCCAATGAACAGTTTATGAACAATAGCTTCTCCCTTGTTATGTCAGTCTTAATATTTCTCTTAATGCGCGATTTTTGCCAGACTTTTGGAGAAGAGTAATATTTACATAGGCTTTTTACTTACATCTCATATATAATGACTAATAAAAAAAATGCTGCTACATAGAATCACCTTGATTATTATCACTGGACTTTTGTCTTGCAGAAAGGCGTCTTGAATTAGTAAATTATAAAAATCGAATTTTCAATGCAATTTTTCGCTAGCTAGGAATAAATTTGTTATTAACATCTAACTGGATCTAATAAATTTACAGAAAATTTCTGAATAATTTAGTTATTGGTGAACTCGAAAACTCAAATGTAATAAAAACTGTTAGTCGGCTTTGTAATTAACGTTTGCATCATTGAGCTCTCCAATGTAGTTCTTCAGTCTGTTAGTGGCCCGTTAAAACGTATAAAAGTTGTGAAAAAATCGGCCGTGAAAATATTTTTGTTTCGGATGTGAGCAGTGCAGCTCGTAGTTTTTTGCAGTTGAAAATGACGTTGTTTATTGTGGGTGGAAATTTTTTTTGATTGTTACACAGGAACTTCTGGCTGCAGGGATAGATGCCGTGCATGAAGTTCGCATTTTATTATCATGTATAAGCATGCAGTAGAATATGGAAGAAAAAAAACATAAAAATCTGTTGTTTCCATCTGACTTTTGTATGTATGCCAATATAATAGCTTGGCGCAGAAAATTGTTATAAATAATTAGGTACTTTGAAATGACACAAATTTGATGCTCAATGATGGAATGCAATCATGCAAATCTTGTTCTTGTTGTCTCGTTTTGGATAAAGCAAATTGGTTAAACACTAGCAAGTATTGACTCTCTATTGGTGAATACCTTAATTAATAACTAAAAAACTCGATTTGATTTATAATTAAGGATAAAAAATCGTAAAAATGACCGCACTGGTTATAAGCTAATGCCATGCACCCATATATCAGTTAGGAAATTTTTAGAATAACAATTTCGGGGTTATGCTTACTTGATACACAGCACAGGACACAACAATGCAAGTTAAAGTCCAGCTGCTAAAGTCCGGTATGATATTAAAATAAGACTTACGTGTTGCTAGCTCAACTCTCATAAGACACTTAGATGAGTTCGCAAACAGGCAGGTTAAAATTTGCCTACACAATATGGGCTCCAAAAGCTGGAATATTGCCCTCTATAACAGCCTATTTTACTTATTAGTTCGAATGCGAGACGAAAATAACAAAATTAGTAAAGGCGCCTATAACTAGAATCGCTCAAATCTAGGAAAGTATTATTAAGAGTAGTCTAGCGCAAGCAAAACGCTTCTAATGACTTTCGGAAAATGAATTTAATCACTTCATATATGATTTCATCTCATTGTAAAACTGGGAAATCGAACTAAATTGGTATTTTTTTATGGATCGGGTATCTATTTTTTCTTTACCCTCATCGTCTCTGCTACTTTATGTAAAGTATACTAGCAGAGCTGCTGCACAAGGCACTCGGGTCAAGTTCTAAGCTTAATTATTATTCAGCATTAAGCTCTTTTATTCTCAGATCAACAGCAAGCGCCAGGTTTCCATAACGCACACTGCATTAATTTTAAGGCCTTTTTGAGCCAGTGGCAGGCGCTACATGGATTACAGCTTCTAAATTAATGCTTGAGTGGCGCAAAGCCTAGACTTGGCCATAACAAAGTCACTGGAATCTCGTCGTTAGGCGAAGACAGCTAATTAGCCTGCACTAAGATAATGAGAGTCTCGGGATACTTTTATGCGTCCACTAAAGCACGCGCCGGCGTTACGAGTGACTCTACTCAAAGGCTATTCGGGTGATTTTACCCAGGAAAATGGGGTATCTGCAATACCTTGGTCATGAGCAATGAAAAAGTCCTTCATGATTAGGCTTATCCGACGATTTTACCCTAGGAAAATGGGTATCTGCAATACCTGGGTTACAAGGCATGAAAAAGTCCATTCAGGAAAAGGCATATTCAGGCGATTTTACCCTAAGAAAATGGGGTGTCTGCAATACCTTGGTCGTAAGGCATGGGGAAGCCCTTTAAAGGCATATTCTGCTGATTTAATCACATCATAACATTGAGTCCACCACATGAAACAAGATCACGAAGAGCACTCGTTACAGCACTACTTCCACTCACGTCTCAACGTGTGGGTGAAAACGTGCATCATTATTTAGATTATAGGACCCCATATTTTTCTGAGTGTACTGTCTGAGCACTTATTGGGCCGTGTCATGAGGCTAGGACACTTGCATGGTTGTGTCTGGAGGCTGAAGCGCTTGCTTGGTCGCATCTGGAGGCTGAGGCACTTGCTTGGTCGTGTCTGGAGGCTGAGGCACTTGCTGGGTTGTGTCTGCAGGCTGAGGCACTTGCTGGGCTGTGTCCGCAGGCTGAGGCACTTTCTTGGTTATGTCTGGAGGCTGAGGCACTTGCTTGGTAGTGTCTGCAGGCTGAGGCACTTGCTGGGTTGTGTCTGCAGGCTGAGGCACTTGCTGGGCTGTGTCCGCAGGCTGAGGCACTTGCTTGGTTATGTCTGCAGGCTGAGGCACTGGCTGGGCTGTGTCCTCAGGCTGAGGCACTTGCTTGGTTGTGTCTGGAGGCTGAAGGCGTTGCGGTTTTGGCATGTTGCCACTTCAACCTCCTGGGAATATTGCCACTTCAACCGCCTCTCGAACTGCCCGATTCGCACATCCACTGAAACCAACAAATGCCTACTGCTGCCGCCACGACCTCCTAGAAATTATTTAATACTCGGACCTTGATACTAAATATTGATACAAACGACCGCCTTGCATGGAAGTATCACAGTAACGAAGGCGTAGCGTTTTGCCGATTAGAGCTTATCACGTGATCGTAATGTAACAATTGGGAATTATCGCGAGGGAACAATAATTGAAAGTTTTTCAGTAACGCATGCTTGGATTTAAATGAATATGAAGCTCTCCGAATCATGGCATTTGCTATGGAAATTTGCTTCGAACCAATAATAACTTACTTGAAATATTTGTCACTTTTACACTAACACTGTCACTTTTACACTGTCACACTACACTTTACACTGTCACTTTTTTTAACATATATCAGTTTAACCTAAGCGTGCGTGCCTTGGCTAAATTCTTATTAGTAATTGCAAGTTTTCATGAGACTGTAATAGTTTTTCCATCACTCTAATCCCTAAAATTTTCGCCATAAAACACACGGTCTTCATTTTGTTCAGATGTACTGGAATACATTATTCTGATGTAAATCCTACAAGAGGGAGCTCAGAATCTTAAAGCGTCTCAGCTGCATCGCCATAAAATGCTTCCTTTTGCGTCGCAGATTTTAGACAAATTCTGGGCTTGGGACGATATGATATCTTACCTCGGGCATTTTTTCTGTTAAACTCTAAATTTTTCGTATATTATTTGAACTGCAAATAAGATGAAGATGAGAAGATGAGACTGTTTTTTTACTTGGCTAGCGACGCAAATAAATCGATCTAATATTACAAAAGTTTTGAAAGAATTTCCTCAATAAGTTAATGTAGAAGTATAAATGATACAAAGAATCTGAAGAGAATGGACGCATAAGATTAAAAAGAATGGAGTGTTTAGTTTACACAATATATGGAAATAAGATGCATAAAATCGAAAAGTTCATGTTTCAATTAAGCCCAAACTCAAAAAACCTGAATTTAGATACATCCCGCGTGTTTTTCGTGAAACAAGCTTCATCGCACGGTTTTAGGAAATTGAATTTAAACGGATGGTTTATAACAAATTATTTTCTTAACACAATTATTTGTAGATGCACGAATGGAAAGTATTTAACTCTTCATATAATAGCCAGCGCAGCCCCAAATAGTATTTTTTTATCCTCCGAACTTTAGCGCCAGAAATCTAAGGCAATAAAATTTTAAGAAATCTAAGGCAATAAAATTTTAAGAAATCTAAGGCAATAAAATTTTTAGGCCCCAACGCGGTGGGAAACGTGACGTGTCTAGCGGCGCTTCGCCTGCTTGCCGAGGCTGGAATGCAATAATACGTTCTGAAGCCTTAACTTTAACGCGCGCCTCTTGCCCGGCCTCTTAAATCTTGAATTCCTTTACAGCTTTTGAATTTCGTTCTCATATTTGCGATGGAGGGACTCGTGGCTGGCACGGTAAAAAGTACGGGTCTTAACTGGACGAATAAAATGTGCATTTCTTGTAGTCGGGATATTTTATTATTGACATATCCTAGTCGTTAAAAGTGATGAGGTATCAAATGTGGTGAGTGAGCGAAATTAATGAGGGATTAATTGTTATCCAAAAAGTTAGGACGCTATTGCGTTTGAGGAGGAATGTCAGTAAAAGAATATTAAGATCTTAAAACATTATGAGGAAAAATAATTATAAACGCTGTGCCTGAATCCTCTATGGTTCAGGTGCCTCATCTGGCTTGTCACTGGATCTCAGAACCTGTTCAACCTGAGTCCTATCTTGTTTTGAAGTGAAATTAAATTCGATTGAACTGACGCCAATTTTCATGAAAAACGTGCCTTTATTTGTATTTTAAGTGTATTGTATTACGTGCTCACAGCGATAATATTCTTACCTGATTCTTTATAATTTTTCACTTGCATCGTACGCGTTTAAAATATAAATATAAAATATTACATATTTTTCAGCATTGTATGCATTATCTTATTACAAACAATGCAAGTAAGCCGGCATGACACTGACGCTCCATTTAGCTATGGCTGTCTGGCCGGCGCTCGACTTCACTTCTGCGGCCACAAACTTGTCGTCTTGTCATCAGCGAGTGACAAAGTTTGAGCTAAAATGTAATCCAAATGCCCCACAAAGTCTCAACTCAAGATCGTTCACGCAGGCGACAGCGCGGCAAATCTTGCACTGTGGATTGTTGATGAAGCTGTCGGCCCAGGAACACGCGTGTAACTCTGTCCTTGTACGTGATTGGTGGCGGCAAAGTTTGACATGATTTTTCTTCCAGCTTGCAGTGGCAATTATTCCAGCGAGAACGGAATACGAGCTCTGTATATGGTAGCAATTAGGAATATTATGCAAGTCCTTCAGTTGGGAGAGAATCCGCTGAACACATTGAGGAGAATGTGTTTGTTATGTTCATCTATGAATGAATTACGCGGTAAAATTGATGGGATGGGTAAATATTTGTTAAGGAATATCAAACTGAAGTCTAGAATCAAAATCAAAGGAAAACAATTTATTATTGGGCAGCAATAGAGATTCCTCATTCTCGGAAATCTGAAAATATTCATTCATATTCATAATTATCTATTTGATCCCGACGAATGGGATAGACGTTATATGACTTTTCTAAACATCCACTTTTAAATTATTATATTCTTGCTATATAAAATTTCATTACCTTAAGTGAAAAAATCCCTCTGTCAAGAATTGGAACTCAAGCAGATGTAGATAAGATATTTTGTCTGGCTTGTAAAAAATGAGTAGCATTTATTTCTCTTCTCGCGAATAGGTTTGGAAGGCCAGAAAAATGGCAGTCGCTGAACGAAAGCCAGACGGAGGACGCTTGGCTTTGATACTGAAAGAATTCGAGAATATTACATATGTAAATATATTAGTGCGCTTCAGGTCTCTAAATAGTCATGAATGCATTCCAAGATTATAAGCAAATGTAAATTTTATTTGAAAATAGTTAATGCTCAGAAACCGTTCATGATACCATTCAGAATCCAAATGATTATTCATGTTGCCATGGATGATTATTGAAATTTCAGCATTTATTGAATGCATTCGAAAATTGTAACGAAATATAAATTCTATTTGAAAATAATTCAATTATCAGTCATATTTATTGTTGCCATTTAAGATAGAAAATTATCAAAATCGAAATTTCAGCGGCTAACCACATTTCTGTGCCAGTCTACATCAAGGAATATAAGAAGGCCTGTTTATAGCGCATATTCTCATTTATAGAAAAAAATGTGCTATTGTGCTCGTCATATCCGTCCGTCCGTGACTTCACGTTTTCGTCGATTTTAAGAATACTTAAAAACGTGTCTTAAAACGTGTCGCCCCCAAGTCGAAATTTTTTTGACGAAATTTAAAAATTTGGCAAAATTTATGCACGAGAAAATGCGCTCTCTGTCACTCACTTCAGTGAGTACTGATCTAATTTTTTCCTTATGGTCTTATGGTTTATTGTTCAAATTTCTGATGGCTCTAAAACGAACAAAACTCGAAAATGAAACATAAAATATCTCTGCCTGCCGTAGTTGTGGCGCATATAAGAATTATTCATTTTCATAACGTTTATGAGCTAAATTCGAAGGCCAGTTTTTTTAAAGCGGAAAACACTGACGAAAAATTCAATAAGAAATTCTTGAGAGTGGAGTCTTGAGTTTTATGCTGTACGGAGTGATGAATTTTCTGTCAGATATGAAAGTTAAATATTGAACGAAAGGTAAAGTTAATAGAAAAGGTTTCGTGGTTTGAAAATCCTAGATGAGATCTAAATTTCATTGAAATAATTTGATTCATTATAGATTAAGCGACTGCAATGTAGCCTTGACATTGTCAGGAGCAGAAATGTGGTGTATAGGAATTTGAATTTACGATGTATTAATTATTACCCTGACTTGATAAGTAATTAAAGATGTAAATTCTTTGTGCATTAATTGTTTGTAAGTGTGTCGAGTAAATAAATAAGCGGCGCTAAAGTGCATTGATAAGCTGGGATTTCACAGAAAATCAAATGCATCAGTACTGAAAATTGCTCTTTAATATATCATAGACATGCGAAACAAATTTTCATTGCAGAAAACCATACAAAAAACCATAAAATTAAAGATCAGAGTTTATTTTTAATTTTACTGAGCACGGCGCTGCGGGTTCTTCTTCTTGGTAGGATTTCTAGGTCTTTTCAGTAAGTCCGGAGTAACTAAAGTATAATAGCTTGTTAGGAATTCATAGAGCTCGCATAATCCTTGAACCTTGAGCATACCTATATTTGTTGAAGGACTTGTCCTTGTAAGGCTCTTGAAGAAGCACTGCTTTGTAGTTTGTCTTCTAGAATTAACCTTTAAAAACTTATGAAAGAGAGCCATTCTCTCATGTAAATGAAACGAGCTCGTCTTTAATGTCAATGGTTCTAGTAATCGGATTTTTATTTAGCATGCATATTTTTCTATTATCGCTGTTTGAAAATTAATCAATATTTGTGAGAAAATATACCTATACAGATAAACTGAAATCGGAAGATGTTTGTGTATCTTTTTTACCGAAAGTGTTTTACAATTTCTGTAACTAATATCTATCTCGTGCTGCTTCTGTCATCGTTTGGCATAGATATAATCTTTCAAGCATTTTATTTATGTTAAAATGAACGGACTGACTCAGAATTGCGTCTGGCAGATTTTACCCTTTCGTGTTTTGCTCCTGAAACTTCCACAAGAAAAATATCCTCAAGTTCTCAGAAAGACCTCAACGGAATCTATTTGGAATGGTTTTTTGTCCAAGTCTATTTGGTGCTGCGTTCAAGATAAGGAGTTGAAGTCGAGGGTCGGCAGCGGGTAGCAAGGCAGCAAACTTGGTTTACGAGCACCGGGGCATTCTCGGCATGCGATATATCACGACTCAAACTTTTCTCGATAAATG